CCTTCTCAAAAGTGTTCCCTAAAGTTTCAAACCCACTAGCTACGGTGATGGAGGCTAGTGGGGATGCTCATATTAAAATTGTTTGGTCTATTCATTGTAGGTATAGGAGAATGACTGATACTTTTATCCTTGAGTATCAAACATTGTTGGACATGTTAAATAATGTCCAGCTTTTCCCTAATGTACAGGATGATGTGATCAGAGGCCTTACTACCTCAGAAGCTTTTTCGGATACGTCAGCTTATGCCCTTATCTTCTGTGATCAATATAGATAATTGGATTCAGGACTTTCCCAAATAAAGAAACTTCCTGTTCCGCTTAAAGTACAATTGTTTCTTTGAATCTTATGTCAAGACAAGCTAGCCATTGTGGATAACTTAAGCGAGCGACGTCTCATTTTAACAAAATGTTTGCATTCTGTGCAAAGCTAGCGATGAAACGACCCAACATTTATTCCCCTTCTGCCCTTTTCATTTAGGACCTTTGGAATTGAGTTCGTCATTGCTTTAATTTATCCATCCCAATTCTAGAACATTACAGGTTGCTCATCACTCAATGGTTATCCCATGGTATTCCAAAGGTGGTCAGCTCATCGCTCAATGGTTATCCCATGGTATTCCAAAGGTGGCCAATATATATATATGAAGAAGTTTATATAGACCCGAGGCTCTAAACAATCAAATTTGAGCCTCTACATCAAAAATTTCAAGAAGAGGTTGTTTTGACGCCCAAATATCTTCAAACCGATCATCTCGACATTGATATGAGAAAAAAATGGATTTCAAGTTTTGGAAATAGTGTATTTTGTAACACATTTTTGGACAGTCAGTCAATTTTCAAGATTTTCAAGTTTTCATAGATCTGTCGATCTATACTATTTTTAAAGCTTTAAAATTTATAAATAAATATGAAAATATATTTGAAGGCTATCTCAAAGATTTCCAATATTAAAATTTTCTCATCACTATTTGAATGTTTAGAGCCTAGGCTCTATACAAACTGAACCCATTTATATATATATATATATTTTTTTTTTCCAAAGGTGGCCAATATATTCTGACGTTCTTTGTGGGTAAGTGTCCTTTGGGGAGTGTAAAAGGAGAGAAATCAAAGAGTGTTGGAAGGAGCTATTACTAGCTTTAATAGCAGATTGGTTCTCCTCTCACAAAGATAGGGGCTCTATACCAAAAAGTCTTGTCATTAACAACCCCTAAGCAATGGCAACCTTGGATAACATGAAATCTAGCTGAAGAGTTGTTGTTTGGTCTCTTTCTCCTTTATGCTTAATTAAATTGAATTTTGATGGCAGTAGCTTTGGAAATCCAGAAGTAGCAGGCTATGGTGGGCTTATTAGAAATCATTTGGGCCGCGTTTTATGCTCATATTCAGGCCCTTGTAGTATTGCTACAACAAATGAAGCAAAGGCTAAAGGTCTTTTGGAAGGATTAAAACTCCTTTCACTTGGGAATGGCATAAGATTATTGAAAGAGACTCGACAATGTCATAGTTTGGAGTAGAGGAGAGTGCAATGTTCCATGGAATCTTAGAATTTTGTTTCATGAGATTAAGATTATCATTTTTTCATTCAATGCTATCATGCATCATTGCTTCAATTAGGCGAATGAGCGACAAGTGCCTTAGCCAAAGGAAGAGCTAACTCCCCTTCTTTGGTTATCAATTTTTCCTAATGCTTCCCCTTGTCTTACTTCATGTTTCTCTTTTATCGTGTAACACTATTTTGAGGTAACGGAAAGTTTGTGTTAATGTTAAAAAAAAACAAAAATATTGATGAAATCATAGATCCCTAAATCTTAGATTTACTGAATACTATTAAGTAATTATATTTCATGTGGGATCAAGAACATAGTGTGTTCCTAAGTGACTATTAGACAATATTTTCAACCCCAAACTTTATTTTGATATGTGAATGCCAGCCTATATGCGTGTGTATGTGCACATGTGCCACACACATATTGCAATGCAGGAGATAAAGATGTTTCATGATTTCATTTACATGTTTGGTTCACATGAAATTGTTTTCTAAAAAATGTTTGATATACGTGAAATTGTTTTCTTAAAAACATTTTCACATGAAACTCTCATGTGGTCAAGTGCAAAAATATTTTTATACCATTTGATCTTATACATCTTTTCACGTCAATTGACAACTAATTGAGGTAAAAATATTTCCACATTTAACCACATCAAAAAAAAATTTCATATAAAATTATTTTTCAGAGTACAATTTCAAATGAACCAAACGTGTTTGCCAAAATAGGTGAAAACACCTGTAGGAAGAACTTTTTTTTATTTTTTTTTGACAATCCATCCACTTTTTGCCCTCCCTAAAGGTAAATATATCATTTTCGTATATACCAATTTCATGATCAAGGCGACTAACATAGCCCATGGCATTTTCGCATTTGAATTAACTAGGGACAGAGACCCTCTTTAAAATGCAAGAGGTACCCCCTTAATTTGCATTTCAAATCAGCCGATTTTATCATAATACGAAAGCAAGGGACTAAGGCAAGCCACAAAGTTCAATAGTTTTAGTTACGACCTACATTTGCTAATAATCAAAGCTTACATCCAAACCGTCTTATCAATTTTTTTATGAATCCTGGGTTTTGAATAGTACAAGCACGAGTCCCAAAACAAATAATATCGCATGTTAGAACCTTTTTTTTTTCTAAAAAAAGTAACGGTGTGAAAAACAAAAAAATTTTGCACACATATACTCC